CAGGTTTACATGTGAACACAGTACCGTTTGTCAGAGTCCACCTGCTCCTATAATCATTTTCATGACCATCAACAAGCAGTAAATTCTGGAGATGAGCTTTCATTGTTTTTATTTATTTATAAGTATTGATAACCTGATCTTCATTGAGTATTTTATTTATTCATTCATTTCATTAAATTCATATACAGCTTGATTGCAGGGGGGGGGGACCTCAAAGCGGTTTACAGAGAATATAAAACAATAAAATGATCACTAAAAAAATTACAGTCATAATTTAAAACACACAGAAATGGAAACTCCTCATACAAACTTTCCAAACATTTAATCCTAAAGCAGGGAATAGTGAAATAAAATTAAAATCCATTAAAAAAGGAGAATAAATAACATTTTTTAAAAAAATCACAATTCCAATGTAAAACAAACCTATACTGCAGCAGGGACAAAAAGTAGATTTCTAATTCATCGTCGTCATCATCATTTTATTTGTATGCCGCCTTTCCATAGTTGAAACTATGCTCAAGGTGGTTTACAACATGACAAGATTTACATAATTACAAAGATAACAGAAGTCATAAACAATAAATAAAACACATCAAAAAGTACACAACCAAATGGAAACAATTTCCACATAAATCATAAGATCTAAAACTAAAGATAAAACAATAATATCAATAACAGCAACAGCTCTCTCAACCCCTCATAAACAATACCCCAGCCCAAGAATCTGTTCAACAATATAACCAAATGGATGGGGAGGGGAAAAGGGGGGACTTTAACCAACTGAAGCAAATGGCCTTAGCAAGAGCTCCCACACTCCCTCTCTCACCTGGGGCAGCCCACAACCTCCCTCTGTCTCTCTCATGTGAAGGGGGCTCTACTCTGTGCTATCAGACCCTTGATCTTTGGCTTTTGAGCAACACCTTCCACCCTCATTCTCCAACTCACCAAAGCTCTCACCCCAAGCACCATGAATCGTTGCCCACAAGCAAAACCCCGACTCACCAGGGGGTTTCTTGGTCACTTCTGCAGTCTCCTTGTTTGAAATAGCTCCAGGGTAAAGCCTAACCCCTCCCACTAATTTTTGCATGTGGATCAGCAGTCAAAACAACCCATGTGGTGTTTTTCTGTTGAAAAGAAAAAAATTGAGATCTGCAAGCAACAGTGGGAATAAAATACTATTATTATTATTTTAAGTATTTACTTGTGAACTGGAAGCTGTACATATGGCACCTTGCATGCAACAAAACAAGAGCAATAGCCTGTACATAGGCTGTGCCATCACTCACTGTAGTGAGTAAATTATTGGTTAACCTGGTCTTGGCAAAGTCTCAGGTGGTTATACCAACATCTGCACTGTGTAATGAATATATTCTGCGATTGCTGGGTGATTGCTAATTGTTTGACCCACAATACAGTTGAAATGCCAGGTGTTTTTTGATTTATTTTTTTTAAGGAACAATCACTGGTTTTACCCTTTCCAACAAGACCATTAAATAGGCATTACAACTTCTGGAGAAAGAAATTATTTTTAAAACACCTACTATTACCCCACACTGCTGACAGAGCTGTTTTCCCCTTGAAGGAACGGTGCCAAAATCAATGCTTAATATAAGGCATGCCTTATGAGAAATCTTGTGGATTATAGTCACACACTGGGTTTTCTAAAAGCTTCTCTTGACAGACTATTTAAATTACCCTGACCTTAAAGCACATTTTCACATTAGGACTTTTCATGAACACAGTGCATCAAGAGCCCATCTGTGAGTTGGTGAAACAAAAATCATTAGACTCAGTCGAATGCAACTTAGCTGTGCAGATCAGGCTGCTATTGCAAATTTGATCACTAGCTGTGTAACAGTCATAACACACACACTGGTAAAGCTTCAAATCCAGTTCATTTAACTGATGAAACAAATTTTAAAGCGTAAGGTCAGATCTGCAGCTGCTGCAAATGATGGTCAATCAAGCCAACTTAACCTACCGGAGGCAATTTCCCCGTGTACGATAAACGGAGATTCCTTTGACCTCTATTTTCCTCCTTCGTTTTGTTATGAATTTGAAATCCCTTATGTATCTTAAAGCCCTGCCTGGCCAAGTTAAACATTTTAAATGAATGGTTTATGCCCAGATGATAGAAAAAGACTCGGGGCCAAACTAGATGCGATGACATTCACAGAAATTAACCATCATACGAATGGCTTTTTGAAACGTTAATTGCTTGGGTCCTTATACAGATCGTGGTGCTGGCATGAAGAGTTGGGGGAATTAACCCCTTGCTCCCTCCAAGCTCCTGATCTGGATTGGGGTCCAATCCCTGCTATTTGCATTGAGGGCAGAGCTCCAGTGGAAACTTTTTTTCTCACTGCAGATAGAATCATAGAGTTGGAAGAGACCACAAGGGCCATCGAGTCCAACCCCCTGCCAAGCAGGAAACACCATCAGAGCACTCCTGACATATGGTTGTCAAGCCTCTGCTTAAAGACCTCCAAAGACGGAGACTCCACCACACTCCTTGGCAGCAAATTCCACTGTTGAACAGCTCTTACTGTCAGGAAGTTCTTCCTAATGTTTAGGTGGAATCTTCTTTCTTGTAGTTTGGATCCATTGCTCCGTGTCCGCTTCTCTGGAGCAGCAGAAAACAAGATAGCAGGCACCCACCTCAAAAGGACTGCAGGAGGGGTTGAAATAATTAAATCCCCACCACCATCATGTCAGGGTCTCTACCCAAATTGAGCCCCATCGTGTCTGCAATTTTAAAAATCCATTGCCAATTGCATAAGATGCATCATGTCTAATTTGGCCCCAAAATTGGGCTGACATCCATGCAGAAATCCTTCTTTTCTATCTGAAGTTTGCATATCTCTTTCTGGCATTGCTTCTGTGGTTTTAACAGCTGCAAGATTGCTGGATTTCTGCTAAGACGACTCAGCATTTTCATAGCATATGTTAAATGTTAGTAGCATTTCCTATACACTATCACAGTGGTTTCTACAATTGCCTTTCAAAAGTTTTATTATCCCCACGGTGGAATTGGTGCTAAAGCTGAGAGATGGCAGCTTGAATAAAGCAATCTGGCATGGCAGAGGTGAGATCTGGAGCACTTTTAGGAGGCAACGCTATGGCAAGATCCTCCAGGATGAGCTTAGGATGCACCGGATCTCTGGCTCAGCTGGTGGTAAATCCCCAATCCCAACTCAGCCAGAGCATAATATGCTGGAGTAGCTAAGGGTGCTGTAAGTCTCCCAAAACAGGCATGGAAGGGGCAACCATTGAACTAGCTTACATGACCTTACACAGAACACTGTTTTAAAGATGTGTTTTTCCTTTGTCAGGCTTCAGATGGAGCAGCCTCACTTCTGCACAGAATTTGGACCTGGTGTGACTTTACGATGGCTTAACTCATACTGGTGCGCTTTATTCCATCTTCTCATGCAGAGGATTATTTCCTTAGCTTAGACCTACACTGGCTCCCAGTACGTTTCTGAGCACAATTCAAAGTGTTGCTGCTGACCTTTACAGCCCTAAACGGCCTCAGTCCAGTATATCTGAAGGAGCGTCTCCACCCCCATCGTTCTCACTGCAAGAAGCCAAGTTACAGGGAACCAGGCAGAGGGCCTTCTCAGTAGTGGCACCTGCCCTGTGGGACGCCCTCCCACCAGATGTCAAAGAGAACAACAACTACCAAACTTTTAGAAGACATCTGAAGGCAGCCCTGTTTAGGAAAGCTTTTAATGTTTGATGCATTACTGTATTTTAATATTTGTTTGAAAGCCGCCCAGAGTGGCTGGGGAAGTGGGCGGGGTATAAATTATTATTATTATTATTGTTGTTGTTGTTGTTGTTGTTGACTGTTTTAATGTATTTTTAATCTTTTAAAGCCACTTTCCCAGAGTGGCTGGGGAAACCTATCCTAGCAAAGAACTTCCTAAATTTAGTTATGCTGTTCATATCGTATTCATCAAAATTGAGGTTTACTGAAGCGCCTTCTCTAAAATTCATGGAAAATCTTTTGAGTAAGAAGAGCTAGCAGCTGGAACAGCTATTAGATAGCTTTTTAGGAACTTAGTAGAAATGTTACAAAACTCTCCATTTTATGGCATTTCCCAGCTCTCCTGCATCATGTGTATTGATCATACATGAAAATAAGTCCTGCTGAAAGTAGCTCAAGAAAATCCTACAGCCAAATCTGAACTTGGCAACGAATCCACCAGAGGACTTGAGTCAAGCCACTCTCTTTCAAGCTTGCCATCTCCTCTGCAATAAACAGCTAATCAATGTGACTTTACAGCCATGCAAATGTACTCAAGATGGGAGTACAGGAAACAGGGGTATTGTACAGATTTCCTGAGTCAAAACCAGTAGGGCACAGGACAGTTGTGCAGAGAATCACAGCTTCTTGGGTCAAAGAACTAAACAAGTGAGACTTTAGGGGAACAATTGTTAAATTAAGACGATGAAGAAATAATTAAACAAAGCCATCTGAAGTCTTAGCAGACCTATTCATATTAGTGTAACTTTGGAGGGGAGAATGATGTTTTGACATTGCATAGTATTACTTTAAAAAATTCATAAAATAATAACCGGGTGCCCTACAACGGAAACAAAATAGAAAAGCTCTTTTGAGCAAATATTTCATGTTCCCTATACAAACTCCGCAACAATTTCACTCTAATTAGCAGACAACCAAACAAGGGGGGATGGCTACCCTCCTAGTGCCCTGCTTGCAGCCTCCCAGGAGCAGCTGGTGGGCTAAGCTTGAAGACAAGAGTGCTGGATTTGATGTAAATTTAGTCTGGTACAGAAAATCAAGTCTTACATTCTTACTACATACTACAGAAGGTATTGTCAGAACATGGATTTTCACCCCCCTCTTTTACCTCTTCCTACACAAGGCTCCCCCCCCCCCCCGCAATTTATTTTGTTTCACTCCCGGCATTTATATGCTGCCTTTCAGGACAAAGCCTTCAACGATGCTTTTTACATGTGTTTAAAACATAAAATTCAGCTTAAATATTTTTATTGTATTTGTTAGAAAAACGAATGAGTCTATTTAAAAGCACTACACAGTCCAGTTGAGAAAAGCAGATCAACAGTGTGACCCCCCCCCCGATACCCTAGTGCCCACCAATCTAGCCAAATAATAGTAGAATGCAGCATTCATACAATCTCACATTGTGTCAAAGGAAGTCTATTTTAGCATGGTACACTGCAAAGCAAAAAAGGGAATATGCAAAATACAGAGTGCAAAACCAAAGCAGCTTGCTACAATTCGGCAGATAAGCTTGCACATGAATTAATTTTGCTTTTGTGCAAAGAGGAACCTCACAGCTTTCTTTCGAAGGAGCTAAAGAATATGCAAGGATGTAAGTTGTGCCCTAAGGGTGAAATGAGAAAGAAGTCTCAAACTCTTCTTTGCTGCTCCAGTAAAAGAGGAACATCTCTCTTGGCTGAGGCAGAAGCAAAGGATCTAAAGAGCCACAAATGGCTCAGGAGCCAGATCACCATCCTCTGTATTATTTAATACAGATTCTGTACAGTAACTGGATGGAAACACGAACAACCCTTCTGATCTGGCTTTCCAATCTGCAACATAAGACACAAGGAAAGTAAGTGTCCTTTGCATAGACCCCACTGGTTTGGCGGAATGGTAACGAGTATTTATCGACAACTGTATAAATACAAAGCCAGAGAGCTGAATTAGGAATATATCCCACCAAGCTCAAATACTGATCTCTCCAGCTGATTCATCCTCGTCACACTCTTCTCCACAAATCCAGAAAGCAGCCCAGCTCAACATGTTCAGACTTTCTTCGCTGCCTGTGTCAGTCCTGCTTTAAGTTCAGCGGGAGCAAAGACACCAAATTCAGTGATAATGCCACCGGTTATCAGCTCATGAGGGGTGACATCGAAGGCTGGGTTCCAAACGTCAATGCCTAGGAAGCAGAAAGAATACAGTCGGTCCAACAGCATGGTAAAGGTTGTCCTAGCTCAACGCCCCCAATCTCTGCTTCTGTTTCATGATCCCAGTGTTGCAAATAGGAGGCAGACACCTCAAAAGAAAAGGCACATTGTCACAAGAGCTCAGAGATGTTTTGTCCCTAAATCATAAATCAAAACATTATGGGAGATGGAAAGGCTTGCTTATTTTGATTTATTCATTTGTTACGTTTGCATTCCACTCTTCCTTCCAAAGGAGCCCATGCATTTTTGCCCCTGGAAAGAGAAGGGATGATGGGAGTTGTAGTCTAACATTGGGAAGGTCACAGGATGGCCATGCCTGGCCAAAGATAAGTAGCTGTCTGTTGGATACTGAGATACTTGAGCCACTTTTCCTTGACTTTCTTTTAGGCTTACTGTAAAAACTGGAGTACAGTGGTGCCTTGGGTGAAGAACTTAATTCGTTCCGGAGGTACGTACTTAACCTGAAACTGTTCTTAACCTGAAGCACCACTTTAGCTAATGGGGCCTCCTGCTGCCACTGTGCTGCCAGAGCACGATTTCTGTTCTCAATCCTGAAGCAAAGTTCTTAACCCGAGGTACTATTTCTGGGTTAGTGGAGTCTGTAATCTGAAGCGTCTGTAACCTGAGGTACCACTCTACAGAGCCTGGTGTGTCCACCTGTTAAAAGCACTGCAACTGAAGATGGAAATGTCCTACTGAATGACCTATTTCTTTGCACACATCCTTCCCACGCTTCGGTACCTGGTGCTGCAACCTGCACACCGTTGATGTGCGTCACTTCTTCACTTGGCCTCTCCTCAATAATGATCTTCCCGCCATGTTCCAAGGTCAGGTCACATGAGGTGCTGGGTGCTGCCACATAGAAGGGGATCCCATGGTACTTTGCAGCAATAGCCAGCTGATAGGTGCCGATTTTGTTCGCAGTGTCTCCATTGGCAACAACCCTGTCTGCTCCCACGATGACAGCTGGGGTTAAAAAAAAGAGAGGATGACAAGCCCCTTACACATAAAAAAAATGCCCACCTGCAAGCTGCACTTGATTCCTTTTGAAATTCCCCATTACACGATGGGTGAAGCAGTGCTCATACAAATAATTTGTGGCATGTTTAACCTTGGAAGACAGGTGACAGAGAAAGCAATCCCCATGGAATTCAGTGTGACATGAGCCCACACTAGACACTGACAGCAGGTAGCCCTTCTGAACCAAGGTAGGACACTTTACGTGCCAAGAATTAATAAAACTGTAATGTTTAAGTGTGCGCTGTATCTTTCCAAAGGCAGATGATAAAAAAATAGAATCAGAACGGGTGGAGGCCACGTAACTTTTCTCTCAGCAGAGGAGCAACTGTGACAGCAGGCACCGCTTCTAAACCACAGCAAGACACTTCTCAATTTAGTTGAGTGCTAAGTGATCGTAAAATTGCAGTGCTTAAGTGTCCATGGAATGTTTACTAGGAAGGAGGATGGGGTAGAAATGCAGAACAACTTGGCCACACCCCTGTGACCTTATAGCAGCCCTGCCAAGTCCAGAGGACACTAGCTGCCACTGACTTAAGGGCCTCAAAAGCTGGAAATGCCCTGGGTCTCTGAGAGGGCCTGTGTCCTCAGACGTGGGTTCCCCACTCAAACCAGTGTGCCACATTGGCTAAATTGTCCCAGTTCTTCCTCTGTGTTCAAGAGATGCTCGAGCCGCCAACAGTTGTTCCAATAGCAAAACTACCTCCAGAAGGCAGCCTGATTGCTACATATCAAGCTTCCTTGCTAAACCAAAATGCAACACTAAGGGCCAAACTAGACGAGAGAGAGAGAGAGAGAGAGAGAAGCACACCTGCACTCACCTGCACCAACGAGCTGCTTCATGAGCGCGGCCACCATGCTGTCCGTAATGAGGCATGCAGGGATCTCCTCATACTTTAGCTCGTAAGCAGTCAGCCGGGCTCCCTGATTGTACGGCCTCGTCTCTGTGCAGTAGACCTTCTCCAGACGACCCATAGCATGCAGAGAGCGAATGACACCTAAAAAGCAACATCATGAATATTGACACTAGGGAGAAGGTGCCAGCTGTCACTCCATATACAACCTTGTTTTTTCAGAAGGGCAGCTAGGATTCCTAGCTCCTTCCTTTATCTGCCAGGGGAGGGACAGCGGGGAGCCAGAGAAAAATATGAGAGGGTTGGGAGAGGGAACCACCACTCATGGGAAAGGTGCCCCACGGTTTGAGAGGTTTTGTACTTGAGCTTAGGTGACGCTTCCAGACTACAGTGGTACCTTGGGTTAAGAATTTAATTCGTTCCAAAGGTTCGTTCTTAACCTGAAACTGTTCTTAACCTGAGGTACCAATTTAGCTAATGGGGCCTCCCGCTGCCACTGCGCCATCTGAGCACGATTTCTGTTCTCATCCTGAAGCAAAGTTCTTAACCCGAGGTATTATTTCTGGGCTAGCAGAGTCTGTAACCTGAAATGTCTGTAACCCAAGGTATCACTGTATAACTTACCAAGCGCAGTGCCATACCCAGCAGTGGCCAGTGAGCCCGTGTTGCAGTGGGTGATGATAGTCACCTTGTCCTTCCCTATGTGCTGCAGGAGGTGGCGTGCCCCATGCTCCCCGATGCTTCTGTTGTCTTTCAGGTCTTTATCCAACATGGCTTCCGCCCAGCTGATCACGCTGTGACAAAAGGTTACATTGACCTGCGTGTTCTCACCTAAAAACAAAAGGTGTGGGGAGATTGGGACGCTGTTCAGCCCTCACCTTTCTTGCAAACTCTCTGCAGTGCTCCCTTCACGCTTGGCCTCCTGGTGAACAAAGTGGCCCAGCTCCTGAGCTGCCCGGGCCATGTTGACAGCAGTAGGACGGGCACTCTCTAGGTAGCGCAGCGAGTCTGCCACAAATTTTTCAAGGCTGCCCACAGTCTGCTCTGCGTTTCCTTTGGTGTGCAGCTCCACTGCAAGACTCAGGCAGCCGACAATGGCAATGGCTGGAGCACCTCGCACCTAAGAGAAAGGAAACTGAAGTGTAAGCATTTTCGTTTGGGAGACGGATCCTTCTAGCATGTGCGAAGGCACATGGCAATGCTGCACAAAGTTCAACTGGCATGTAGATTACATGTGATCATTTTTTTATGTCACTCCTAACACAGAATGTGCCGTAGGGAACTGATTTTTAATGGCCTCATATGGGAACTTTAGGAGAAAACAATTTAAAGAACATGGATAGCAATTAGCAAGTTACACAACAGAATCGTATGTGGTCAGTTCTTGTTGGCCTGCATTACTTCAGACCTTCAGTGGGGGGAGAAGAGCTCACATGTTGTAAACCAGGTATGGATAACTTCAAGCCCTTCTAGATGTAGCTGCACTACAGTTCCCATACACCCCAACACTCCATTTTGTAGTTCTCTTCGACCCCAACAAGAAACTATAGTTCAGCAACATCTGGAAGGTCAAAGGCTCCTCAGGCCTGTCTTTATAAATAGAAACAAACCCTGCCTATCACGCTAGTTTCCTGCAAACGACTTTTTGAACAGGAGCTGCATCAGCTCAACTCTGAATGCGCGACTGCTAAACAGATGGAACTCTTCGTGTGAGCAGGAATTACAAACTTTAGTTTTGGCCACGAAGGAGAAAACCAAGTGTCCTGCCTTTTTAAAAGAAAATCCACCTCTGCACACGATGAACCCCATTCTTTTCGGCCAGTAATGTTTTGCCTCCCCCCACAATACGGGGGGGGGGGGGAATATCCTGCTCATATGCCTTCACTTCTGGATCCTCTGCTTGCTACTCTTTGTCGGGGTTCCTTTATCCGAATGATAAACAGTCCCGCAGCTCTACCGCCCAAACTGCGGGCTGGCACTCAAAAGGGAGTTGTTTTCCCCTATCACTGCCCCTCCACGTGGCAAGAGCTTCTCCTGTTGAACCGCTGCCTGCTGTGCAGCTGATAAAGGTGTGAGACCGCAGCCGGGGAACAGCACGCGGAGCCCCGAGATCGCTCGGGTCCCTTAGGCGTTTCCCCTTCCCCGTCGTAGCACCTTCATGGTGCGGATGGCTCTCCAGCCGTCCTCGACGCTACCGATTTCCTCGTAGAGGCTCTGCTGGGGCAGCAGGAGCTGGTTGAGGATCTGCAGGGATCCCCTGCGGTAGCGGATCGCTTCCAAACTCATGGCTGCTTCCGAGGCTGGGCTGCGGGAGGCGGAGCGAGAAGCGGAGAGGAAGCAGCCCGCGTGGGTGCTTCTGCCCGCGGCCGAGAAGCTGCGCTGGGTCCTAGAAAGAACCATTTTCAAGTCCCTGCGAATATGCCCCTCTGCTGACCCCAAATCTCCACTAGGGCAAAGGATCCTTGCTTCTTCTTCTCATTTTCTATTCGTCTACCGCTGACTTATTTGTTATTTATTTGTAAGAATATTTATATAACGCTGCATCATAAAAATATATCGCAGAAGTTTGTGTCGATATAAAACCAAACAATAACATCATAAAAAGTTAAGAACAAGCTAAAAGCAAAAAAGAAATTAAAAACATCAATTGACCATTTAACGGGATGGATGTACTCTTACTTGCCTGCATAGGCCTGGCTGAAGGAAAAGTTTTCAGCAGGCGTTTAAAACTTGACGCAGAAGGTGCTCACTGAATCTCTAGTGGCAAGGTGTTCCACAGGACTGGGCAAATGACACTAAAGGCTTGGTTTCTTGTTCGAACAAGCTTCCAGTCGGGATTCAAGCCTCATCATGGGACTGAAACTGCCTTGGTTGCACTGGTCGATGATCTCCGGCAGGCTAGGGACAAATGTGAGAGCTGTTTCCTAGTTTTGCTGGATCTCTCAGCAGCTTTTGACACCATCAACCATAACATCCTTCTGGACCATCTAGAGAGGCTGGGAGCTGGGGGCGCTGTTATACAGTGGTTCCATTCCTTTCTCCTGGGCCGTGTTCAGAAAGTGGTGCTGGAGGATGAGTGTTCAGACCCCTGGGCTCTCACTTGTGGGGTGCCTCAGGGTTATGTCCTCTCCCCATGCTTTTCAACATCTACATGCAGCCACTGGGAGAGATCAACAGGGGTTTTGGGCTGGGTGTTCATCAATATGTGGATGATACCCAGCTCTACCTCTCTTTCAAATCAGAACCAGTGAAGGCAGTGAAGGTCCTATGTGAGTGCCTGGAGGTGGTTGGAGGATAGATGGCGGCTAAGAGATTGAGGTTGAATCCTGACAAGACAGAAGTACAGTTTTGGGGGGACAGGAGGTGGGCAGGTATGGAGGACTCCCTGATCCTGAATGGGGTAACTGCCCCTGCAGGACCAGGTGCGCAGCCTGGGAGTCATTTTGGACTTGCAGCTGTCCATGGAGATGCAGGTCAATTCTGTGTCCAGGGCAGCTGTTTACCAGCTCCATCTGGTACACAGGCTGAGACCCTATCTGCTTGCAGACTGTCTCACCAGAGTGGTGCATGCTCTCACTTGGACTACTGCAATGGGGGGAACCTTTGAAGGTGACCCGGAAACTACAACTAATCCAGAATGTGGCAGCTAGACTGGTGACTGGGAGCGGCTGCTGAGACCATATAACACTGGTCTTGAAAGACCTACATTGGCTCCCGGTACATTTCTGAGCATAATTCAAAGTGTTGGTGCTGACCTTTAAAGCCCTAAACGGCCTTGGTCCAGTATACCTGAAGGAGCTTCTCCACCCCCATCGTTCAGCCTGGACACTGAGATCCAGCTCCGAGGGCCTTCTGGCGGTTCCCTCACCGAGAGAAGCCAACTTACAGGGAACCAGGCAGAGGGCCTTCTCGTTAGTGGCACCCGTCCTGTGGGGATGCCCTCCCACTAGATGTCAAAGAGAAAAACAACTACCAGACTTTTAGAAAACATCGGAAGGCAGCCCTGTTTAGGGAAGCTTCTAATATTTGACTATTGTATTTTAATCTTTTGTTGGAAGCCGCCCAGAGTGGCTGGGGAAACCCAGCCAGATGGGCGAGGTATAAATAATGAATTATTATTATTATTATTATTATTATTATTATTATTATTATTATTCACCAACTCAGGGTATGACCAAAGATGTTCCTGCAAATTATTTCAGTGATTGAGCTGGGATATAAGGGTTCAGGTGATACCTGAGGTATCCTGGATTTGAGTTGTTCAGGGCTTTGTAAATCAATGCAAGAAGCTTGAACTTCGCTCAGAAGCAGGTGGGCAGCTACTGCAGCTTTTTTAACAATGGTGTCAACATGGTGTCTCGACCAGAAGCTCCCATCAGCAATCTGGCTGCAGCATTTGGCACCAGCTGAAGCTTCCAAACCAGACCCACATAGAGTGCCTTACAGTAATCCAGCCTCAAGGTTACCAGTGCATGGACTACCATGGTCTGGCTATCCCTGGCCATGAACGGCTGCAGATGGCGAACCAGACGAAACTGGTAAAAGGTACTCCTAGCCACAGGACACTTGGGCCTCTGGTGACAAAGATGAGATTAAAATGTAATAAATTAAAACAAACTGAGAACTCCTGTTCCTTAGCCTGTGATTTATTGAAGTGTTGCGAATGGACTGCATTAAGAGATGCATCGTTTGCGCATTTGCTGAATGAAAGCTGTTTAATTACTTTCCACTGAAGAGAATGCAGACATTAGGGATCCTGCTGACCATCTTATCTATCCCAAAATAGCAGGTGCACGTGTCTTACAATGCAATCCTATGCACGTTTACTCAGAAATGCATCTCCACTGTGTTCAATGGAACTTACGGTACTCCCTAATCAGTATGTTTATGATTGCAGTTTCAACAGAAGATATTATGAGGTAAAAAGAGTTTCCCAGCAAGTGCACATATGTGTCCCACAAACCTGCGGAATACATATAATGGTACCTCATGTGAATGTAATCACAGTCATGCTGAACAGATCTAGGCACTGAGCCTTGGCATACTAATAGGAGCCTTACAGTGTGTACCTGTTTTCATCTCCCTGCCTACCTGCTCGTTGCAGAGTTTTGATAACACCCCTAAACATTGCCAAAGGCTATCTTCCTACGTAAATATGCTGCCTTGTAAATAATGCATGGTAAAATATGCGCCTTAGCATGCGATGTTTTTGCTAGTTTCAAGCATTGGAAGCAGAACTGAAATCCGAGCCAGGAGCAATCCCTAAAGCAGAAGGATACAAGTTTCGTTCAGATAGAAGCGTGGGATGATAACCATGCAATCTGAAAGCTGTAGCACAGGTTCTCTCATTTCTGGTAAAAGATGCCTGCGATCTGACGGTACTTACTTGTTAGCAGAGTTCTGAAGGGGGGGAGTGCCGGAGGAGGAGATTAGTATTCTTGGGCAGCAGCTGCAGCCCACAGGGCTATCACTAGGTCAACGAGGCAACTGCCTAGGGCACAGACCTCAGAGGGGCACAGTACTGACTTTGTAGGGGCACACTTTTATACAGATTAGTTTCTGCTATATCTTGTGCATTACTGATAGTATCTTACCTTTATTTTATATTTTGAAGAATTTTATCATTTTGGAAGTAATTAATAAACGAGACAGAATTGTTGTTCAAGTATATACAAAATAGATACATTGTAGAGTTGATCTGTAAATAATATCAATAGTAATAATAATAGTAGTAGTAATAATAATTTTATTATTTATACGCCACCCATCTGGGCGGCTCCCAACAGAATTAAAAGCACAATAAAACATCAAACATAAAAAACTGCCCTAAACAGGGCTGCCTTCACATGTCTTCTAAAATTCAAGTAGTTGTTTATTTCCTTGACATCTGGTGGGAGGGTGTTTCACAGGGCGGGTGCCACTACCGAGAAGGCCCCTGTAACATCACATCTTGCAGTGAGAGAACCGCCAGAAGGCAGCCTGTGTACCAGATGGAACTGGTAGATAGCTGCCCTGGACACAGTAAAAATGAACTTAATTTTAAATCTTACAGTCCCATCCTGATCTTATTTAGAAAAGGTATTCTTGCAATTTAAAATTTTGTGCTTTTTTTTTTCCTATGAGAGATCTGTGTTTGAAAGTTGAAGTTAGCAATTTTTCCCCGGGGGGGGGGTACAAGTAGTTAGCTTTGCTTAGGGTGCAAAATAGCCTGGCACTGGCACACACGCCTCATCACCACGGTCCCACAGCTGACCCACCAGAGCCCCCTGGCTCTGCTGCTGTTCCTTTTGCCATTGTTTCCTGTTTGTCTACTCTCTCTCTAGGCTAGAGAGTGTGAGACAAGATCAAGAAAAAGGAGCAGTAGGTGTCACTGCCTACTCACTCACCTGGACCCAGAGGCAGAGAGATGCAGTGGTGCATCTCCTCCAACATTTCTCCAATGAAAATAGGGATGCCCTAAAGAAAAGCAAGACATTCCAGGATCAAATCAGAAACCGGGACGGCTTCTGTAAATCTGGGACCATCCCTGGAAAACAGGGACGCTTGGAGGGTCTGGTGGTGGATGGCTTTAAAAGAGAATTAGAACAATCCATGAAGGATAAGGCCATGTTCTATTTTCACTGTTGGAGGCAGTATGCCTGTAATGCCAGTTGCTAGCCATTAGGATTGTCTCCCTGTTTATTTAACTTATATGCAGAATTCATCATGCGAAAGGCTGGGCTGGATGAATCCCTACCCGGAATTAAGATCGCCGGAAGAAATATCAACAACCTCAGATATGCAGATGACACAACCTTGATGGCAGAAAGTGAGGAGGAATTAAAGAACCTTTTAATGAGGGTGAAAGAGGAGAGCGTAAAATATGGTCTGAAGCTCAACATCAAAAAAACGAAGATCATGGCCACTGGGCCCATCACCTCCTGGCAAATAGAAGGGGAAGAAATATATTCTATCCAGATGGCCATTGTTGTTTTCTGATCTATTCCAAATTCTCTTTCTAAATAGCAGTGATTTTGGAACTACTGTTACTTATAGGCAAGCGAAGAAACTTGGGCAAGCCCTGCAGGAAGTGGTACACGGGCTGGCACTGTAGCACAGTTGCTATTGCCTTCTAGCTTTTTAAAGCCTGCTCTTCCAAGCTGTTTCCAATTTGCTTGTTGCTTCATTGCACCTCCTAAATCACAGTAAGTTGGTTAATAATAGAACATGCAAAGCCCTACCATTACAGAGCGGTTTCATAGCATTTTTCATTTTTATACTTTCTAAAACTCAATTCAAGTGTCAAAATCTAATTACTGCAACTTGAAGCATATAGTGCTTGATTACAGATAAAAT